CTCTGCTTCGCCAGAACCAAAAACCACCGGCGAAGGCCCTAACCTCGTCGTATCTGTTGCTGCACCGCCAAATCTTCCTTACTGGTCCGTCGCCGGAAGGAGTTACTGCCTCGTATGCTCGCTGCCGTACCCACAACTCGCCGGAGAAGAACCTTGCTGCTACTCACTACCGACGGTTACTACTTAGCCGCCAAGTCTCGCCATCTCGCCTCACAGGAGTCACAGCAGCGCTGGTCTAAACAAGATTAGAAGAATAAGACATAAAAAGACAGAAAAGCCCTTCTAATTCACGGTCAACAAACGACTTCATTGACGGATGATCAAAACTGTCCAACGATCAATAACAGTGTCTACTAAGTGGCAATTTTTATTATGAAGGATGAAAAGTGTCAATGCCTCAATAAGTCTAGGACCAAAAATGACATTAACTCCAGAATACAATACAAGAATATTTAATTATGGTTATATTATTATTGTGCCTCACGACCATTATATACTAACAGTACTTGAAAAGAAACTAATAATAATAATAATAATAATAATAATAAAATAATAATAATAATAATAATAGTAATAATAATAATAATAATATAAGTGGTAATAATAATATCTAAAAGTAATTAAGTGTTAATAATAATAGTAAGAATATTAACGTAAGAGTTGTAACATAGAATAAATTGTAATAATTAATAACTATAGTTTAGGATTCAATTTGGAATTGTCAGGAAAGATAAATGACCTCTGGTGAAATTAACTCTTAAATAATTATATATCGATTTAAATTTTCTTAATATATTACAACAATTCCATTTCGTGCATCGCACGGGTGAAAATACTAGTTATTATATAATAATGTACACGGTTTAGTAAGAAAGAATGGGAAGAAATAAGAATCAGAATAATATTGAATAAAGGATTTTCAATACACGGTAATCTTGATTGTTAGGAGGATTTAAAATTGCAAATTAGCAAAAATGTGTACACGGTAATTACCATATTTAATAATATATATTATAAAGTAATTAATTAATAAATGACCTTAATTAAAATCTGTACACGGTAATATTCTGTTTTAATTAATTATATACCTTAGTAAAATTGATTTGATCTAATTGAGTAATAAGTTTGAATTACATGACTTAAAAATTAATAATCTGTACACGATAATTATATTAGCATATTTAATTTAATTATTATAGTAATAAATAATTTTTTATATCTCTTGCACGGAATATGTATGAAATATGTTAGGAATATTCCATTTTATACACTTTGAATACATTTTATAAACAAATTAATCTCTCTCTCTCTCTCTCTCTCTCTCGCTCTCTCTCTCTCTCTATATATATATATATATATATATATATATATATATATATATGTATATATATATATATAAGTAAAATCCTCCAAACCAATTTCTCCCCTCCCATCCCCACCCAAAAAAAAAACTTAGGGATATTTATGTAAAATTATATATATTTTGATTATGGAATATTTAACTATGGAGATTCCGTGTTATATATATACATATATATATTGATCGATATTAATAAAATATAAATATAAATTAGGTAGTAAAAAATAATTCAATAATTAAATATAGTAATAATTAAGGATTTGCTATTTAAACTCACCATTAGGCTAAACTCAAAGCTATCACTTACAAACTTATTCTTGCTTTTCTACTCTCCTTTTTATACAGATTTTCAATGGTAGCTGAACCTCACTCTAAGATTGTTGGTAATCAACTTCGCGTAGAACTGCGGTGGAATCACATTAGGTTTAGAGTGCTTCGTGTCGTTCGTCTTCCTGAGACAAAAGGTTCTCAAACCATTAAACCTATAGAATGTGTAGTACATGATGTAGAATTTTTTTTTTTTTTTTTTGAACCATTTATATTTTGTATCTCTAAAATTTATTGTTGATGCATATGTTTATATATATATATATATATATATATATATATATATATATATATATATATATATATATATATATATATATAATTTTAGGGAACATTTATACATATGCATATTTCACCATTGTATGTACAAAAGTGGTTCAACAAATTTAAAGAAGGCAAAATTTATCGAATCTATAAATTTGAGGTGGTTTATAATGACTATAGAAACAAAACTTCTAATCTCAGGTGTATGTTGGGGTTTTGTGATAGAACTACTGTAGAAGTATTGAAAGATGCAGATTTCCCAACACTTCTAATCTGTACACATGTTAACGACGAATATGTTAATGACGAATATGTCAATATTTTATGTTTGTTATGTTATGTGTTATTATTTTTAGTCCTACAATTTATTTTGTATGAAATTTCTATTCCATAGATATATAAAATCGAATATTCCTAACATATTTCATACATATTCCGTGCAAGAGATATAGAAAATTATGTATTACTCTACTAATTAAATTAAATATGGTAATTACCATGTACAGATTATTATTTTTTAAGTCGTGTAATAAATACTCTGCTTACACGGATTATTTACAGATTATTATTCGTTCTCGAGTGTATTTATTACACGGCTTAACAAATAATAATCTGTACACGGTAATTACCATATTTAATTTAATTAGTAGAGTAATACATAATTTTCTATATCTCTTGCACGGAATATGTATGAAATATGTTAGGAATATTCGATTTTATATATCGATGGAATATAAATTTCGTACAAAATAACTTGTAGGACTAAAAATAATAACAAATAACATAACAAACATAAAACGTTGACATATTCGTCATTAACATGTGTACAGATTAGAAGTGTTGGGAAATCTGCATCTTTCAATACTTCTACAGTAGTTCTATCACAAAACCTCAACATACACCTGAGATTAGAAGTTTTGTTTCTATAGACATTATAAACCACATCAAATCTATAGATTCGATAAACTTTGCCTTCTTTAAATTTGTTGAACCACTTTTGTACATACAATGGTGGAATATGCATAAGTATAAATGTTCCATGAAATTATTACAAAAAAAAAACATATGCATCAACAATAAATTTTAGAGATACAAAATATTAATGGTTCAAAAAAAAAATACCTCTACATCATGTACTACAGACTCTATAGATTTAATGGTTTGAGAATCTTTTGTCTCAGGAAGACGAACGACACGAAGCACTCTAAACCTAATGTGATTCCACCGCAGTCCTACATGAAGTTGATTACCAACAATCTCAGACTGAGGTTCAGCTGCCATTGAAAATCTGTGTAAAAAGGAGAGTAGAAAAGCAAGAATAAGTTTGTAGGTGATAGCTTTGAGTTTAGCCTAATGGTGAGTTTAAATAGCAAATCCTTAATTATTACTATATTTAATTTAATTATTGAATTATTTTTTACTACCTAATTTATATTTATATTTTACTAATATCATCAATATATACATGTATATATATCACACGGATTTTTACTACCTAATTTATATTTATATTTTATTAATATCAATCAAAATATACATGTATATATATCACAAGGAATCTCCATAATTAAATATTCTATAATCAGAATATATATGATTTGACATAAATACCCCTAAGTTTGGGGGGAAATGGTTTGGAGGATTATATATATATATATATATATATATATATATATATATATATATATATAATAATAATAATAATAATAATAAAGTTCAAATGCGGCGGGGCCTTCCCGTGCCGCGGTGCGACGGAATTTCAGAATACATCAACAGTGTTAACAATATGCACCAACAGTGTAAGAAAAACACACCACAATGAAATGCAATAAAACATCACAAAATACACAACAGACTCAAAAAAATACACCATATAACTCACCACCTCCAATGGTGTATTTCCGAACCGTGTATGATGTTTTTGCTCACACCTAATGGTGTGTGTTTGACTGTTTGGTGATGCGGGGCTCTGTTTACTCTGTTTTTTGTGGTGTATTTTACTAACGTTGATGGTGCATATTTGTTGAACTATTGGTGTTGCCGTACCGCCGCACCGTAAGACACTGCCGCACCTGAACTCGCATATATATATATATATATAATCCGGATCAGGTGAGGACCTAATCTTAGGTGAGGACGTGAGGACTAATCTTGTGCGTTTGTTTTTTTATTTGGATGGTCCAGATTTGAGTTCTTGAGATGACATGGATTGATCTTTTTTGTTAATGTGGGATAATAGTGTCTTTTTCTATTTTTTTAAGTGTGAACGCATGTATAATCCTTGGCCAAATTGGTTTCCTATTTTCTTGGATCATCACCGTTGCAATTTGGAGCCGCGATTTCTTCATCATTGATTGAGTGTTCGCCCATGCAAACTAATCGGTATTTTTTATTTTTTTTCGCTTGTTCTTTTGAGTATAATATTGTCTATATTTGGATTGTCGTGTATATGTATAAATGCCTGGGTAGTACGATTGTGCATTCGTGTGTGTTGATTGTGCAACCTAGTGTTGTAAGTTGTGCACTATAGGCTAGGGAGTTGTGCATTATAGCACATAGTTCAATGCATCGTAGAACATTGGATGTTCACTGTATGATTTTTTGGCGGGGTTTGAATGCACAACAATGAAGTTATTGATGCACAACACTCAGTATAGGAATACACAACATTTTGTATAGGAATGCACATCTTTTAATAAGAATGATTTACCCTAAATTTATATATTTTAATATTTTAAAGGAATTTGTTTTCTTAATCCGTGTGATTTGTTTCTTTTAATCTCAATCATACATCATTCTGATTTAATGGTCTTCTGATTTAATGGTCTAGATTAGTCCTCACGTCCTCACCTAAGATTAGGTCCTCACCTGATCCGGACCATATATATATATATATATATATATATATATATATATATATATATATATATATATATATATTAGCATTTTGAACACATTTTCAACTTAAAAAATCGAGCATTCAATTTATATATTGAAAATAAACTTTATACTAAATAAAAATTTAGAAACTCCCAAGATTTTTCAAATTAACTCCATAATCTATCATATATAGCATAAATATCCATTACGTTACAAGCGAGCTCAGTACATTCACTTATTAACAACAATAGAAGCATTCCACAAAACACGTACCCATACAATAAAGGAGTTTAACTTATTATCTAAAAATTGAAAAAATGCATTTCTCCAAGATCTCACAAGAAATAAAGACCCACAAGTCACCCAAAAGCCCACCACAAATCCTATGGCCATGCTTACATAAAACCAATCCACTTCAGAATCATCATCTCCTTCATCATTTTCATGTTTTGGAATTTCACCATCATCAACTCTACAAGCTTGGGAGAGTGGAAGGCCGCAGAGGTTGTTCCCAATGTAACACGAAGCATTAAAGCTTTGAAGCTGAGTACTTGAAGGTATCTTTCCAGATAGGTTGTTATATGACAAGTCCAGAACACTAAGGGTGAACATATTTGAAAAACTCGAAGGAATTTCACCTGAAAACTTATTTTTAGAGAGATCGAGTGATTTCAGTAATTTCATGTTCCCCATTTCGATGGGTATTTTTCCTGTCAAGTTGTTTCTTGATAAATTCAACGATCTCAATCCCACAAGATTGGTCAATTCAATTGGAATTTCACCTGAAAAGTTGTTACTTGAAAGATCCATGCTAGCAAGCAACTTTAGGATGGTGATATCATATTTGTACTCATGTCCTTTTGTTGTTGCTAAAGCATTTTCTTGAAAATACCCATAACGCGAGGAAGACATCCCATTCTTATTCTCATCAATAGTGATCATTGCAGTGAGATTATCAAGACACCTAGGTATAACACCAAAGAAATGGTTATTGGCAAGATCAAGAATATGAAGAGATGTGAGATGACAAAATGTTGGGGGCAATTCACCAAACAATTTATTTGAACGAAGTCGTAAGATCTTCAACTCTGAAAAACTAGTCCCCAACCATCTTGGGATCTTTCCCGTGAATCCATTTTCACCCAAATCAACTTTCAATAGATGGGTGCAATTCTGCAATGACGGTGGTAAATGGCCAGAAAGTATGTTCTTGTGTGCATCTAAAGATTCCAAGTTATTCAAAAGCCCAATGGAACTTGGGATACCTCCAATGAGTTGGTTTTCCCCTATATTGATGACTTCCAAGTGTGGCCAATGCATCCAACAATCTGGAATTTCTCCAGATAAACCATTTTCTCCCAAATCAAGTATTTTAAGATTATATGGTGGCACGTTTTGTGCATGACATAAAAAGGAAGAGATATCTCCTGAGAAGGAATTGTTCGATAGGTCTAACTCGGTTATGTGGATAGGAATATGAGGTAACGATCCACTAAATTGGTTAGAGCCCAAGTACAAAAGTACACCTACACGTCCTTCTGGTAATCGAATTGAGATATTTTGAATTTCACCTCGCAACTGATTAAATGAAAGATCAATGGCCTCGAGGACAGAAGAAAAGTTCCAAAACCATTTTGGAATCTCACCCTCTATTCCAGCATTAGATATCTCCATTTGAAAAATTTGATGTTGAGATTGTAGCCAAACTGGAAATTGAGGACCCAAGTTCCAATCACTTAAAGAAAGTGCACCTAGTTGGAATGGAGGCATCCAATTTGGGCTAACTTTCAAGGTTAATCTATTTCCAGATGCATAAATTTCAGTTAACTTGGTGAGATTAGCAAAGTGATTTTCAGTCACTATGCCTTCCAACTTGTTATTTAAAAAACTTAAAGTTGTCAATGAAGACAAATATCCTAAACTCTCTGGAAGGGGTCCATAGAACTTGTTGCTTGAAAAAAGAAAATAATCTAAATTCTTGAGTTCCCCAATTTCCTTTGGTATCTCTCCAGTAAGCATATTGCTTGAGAGAACAAGAGTTGACAAAGAAGTCAAATTGGAAATGGATTTTGAAATGATACCCTGCAGTTTGTTTACACTCAGACGAAGAACCTTTAGGTTGGGGCAATGATAAATCGAATCTGGTATGTGAGAATTCAAGTTGTTTGAAGAAGCATCCAACCTTTCAAGGGAAGTCAAGTTCCAACGACCATTGGGCAAAGGACCATGAAATTGGTTACAACAAAGTTTCAAAGATTTCATGTTACTAAGACCAAACAATTGGTCAGGTAATGAACCATTCATTTCATTGAAACCGATGTCAAAACTGCTAAGATATGTCAAGTTCCAAGGACCATGAGGAAATGAACCAAGAAAACCACAGTGTGATAAATCAAGAGAAACAAGGCTATTGAGATTGAACATCCATCTAGGAATAACTGAGTTGAACATATTCCCAGAAAGATCAAGTACTTGAAGCGAAGAACTGTTATGGTGAAGTGGATGAGATAAATTAAAAAGATCACACCCTCGTAAATAAAGCTCGCTCAGAGAAGGAAGCATATCAATCGCCTCTAGCCAATTATATGCCAAGCTTAGATTGACATAGCTCATATCCAAATACTCAAGATTTGAAAGACTTGGTAACCAGTCAAGAGTATCGACTTTAATGAAACCACCATATGTGGCGCATTCCAAACGCAAAGTGTGCAAGCTTGAAAGGTTTCCGAGTTGGTGAGGAATAATTCCTTGAAACCCAGAGTTGGATAGATCAAGATATTGCAAATTAGCAAAAGACCCAATGAAACTAGGGATGTGAGTCCATTTAAAATAATCAGAGAGACTACTCAGATCAAGGTGACGTAATTGTTTCAATTCAAGTAAACAAGAACTAAGTTTACCTCCTTGAGAAACATCTTTGACCTCGGGATTTGCAACTGGACGGAGTTCAATCACATGACCAGTTACATTATCGCACACAACACCATCCCATTCACTACAGCAATCTGTTGTATCAACCCAATTCGTTGGAACTTTTGACTCATTCTTGAAGCACAACAATGCTTGCTTCTCCTCCTTCCTGCAAACCCCAATATTGTTGTCGCTTCTGCCACAAACCCACAACTCCATAACTACAAAGGTGAAGAAGATGATCAGGAAGTGATCAATTCGAAGTGGAGATGTCGACATTATGGAAAAACTTTTCAAGCTTAAATTGGGAAATCTAATGATGCAACACTCTCAATGTTCTGATCTATTTATGTTTAATTGGTTAGGTCGATAATAATATTGTGTTTATATATGCGCATACTTCTTATGGAAGGACTTTATTTAATACCAGTCATCAGGTTGCAGTATTTCCCTGGAAGCTCATTTGCTTCAAAGTATTCAACTGCCCTTGTGTCAGCAAAAGCTGCCGCAACCATTTGTTCAAAGTCTATAAAACGTGTTGGCTTTTAATTTATTTTAAGAAAATTGGTATAATATATATATATATATATATATATATATATATATAATAATAATAATAATAATAATAATAATAATAATAATAATAATAATGTTAGTTGTACACCAGAATATTATAAATTCCACTAGATGAGGGCGGAGTTGTTGAAGCATGCAGTGTGAACCGCTTTAGGTGATATGATAGTGAAAAGTCAATTTAGAATTTTTAATTGAGCTGGTGAGTTGTTAAATTAGCAGTGTCATTCTAATTTTTAATTGAGAATTTGACCGACACTATGTGGTTTGGTTTATACATTTTGACTCCATCAAACAAAATTTCTACATTTCCCATTGGCCATGGCCCAAAATAATTGCAGGGAATGAAGGCGTAATGGAAATAATCATCATTTTGTATTTGAAATTGTATTATTATTATTATCATCATCATCATCATCATCATCATCATCATCATCATCATCATCATCATCATCATCATATCGAAGAGCTTATACTAGAAAAGCTCCACTATTGTGTAATTGCGAAGCGACGAACTCAACCGAAAAAATACTGTAAGAATCAAATTTATAACTATTTAAGTATAACAATTAAACTTCATCAATATTCGGCACTCAGCTCCTTCTAGGACAATGAAGTTGAGCATGCCCCAAACACCAAGAGGTACAGTGGTGATCATGAAATTATACATTCTGAGGCAAGGTTGTTGTTATGCTTTTCAGCAAGGAATTGAAGCTAAAATTTCATAAATTTTGTATTTGTAATAGAATAGAGCTGAGCCTTCTCCATCATGAATGGTTCTTTGTCTTTGAACTTGTTAGAACAATGATCCACACCTAAAAATAAATAAATATAAATAAAACTACATTATTTACTCTATCAATTTGGCAATTTATTGCAAGACAAATACAAATGGACAATAGCACCCGGCTAAGAAGCTTCAAGGAATGAAGGTTGTTACTTGGTATCACTTTGCCACAAGAGATTTATATCTAAATATATATAATATATAACAAAATTGCTGTCAATGATATTATTTTCAGTCAAATTTGTATAAAAATGTTGTACGGAGTATTATACATTATAATGTGAAAATACGTCAGCATATTTTGACTTTTCAATAAATATTAGTTAGACTTAATAATAATCAAAATGGTCCCTCGATTATGCCGTAATTATCAATTTAGTCCTCGACTATCATTCTTATCCAATTAAGTCTTCAACTACGCATTTTTACGTAATTTAGTCCTTTGTTAATTTGATTGTTTGTTGACTGTCAAAAGTGGGGATAAAGTTGTAATTTTACAAGCTTTTTCCTTCCTTCTTATTTAGCAGCGCCAAACCATGTAACAATAAGCTCTGATCTGCTTCCAAACCTGTCAGTGTTGAAGTAGTGGTTGTGCATCGGTTTGGCGCAGCTAAATGGGGAGTACGGAGAAAGCTTGTAAAATTACAATTTTATCCCCACTTTTGACAGTCAACAAACAATCAAATTAACAGAAGACTAAATTGGGTAAAAATTGCATAGTTGAGGACTTAATTGGTTAAAAATTGCATAGTTGAGGACTTAATTTGGTAAAAACGATAGTCGAGAACCAAATTGGTAATTACAGCATAGTCAAGGAACCATTTTGGTTATTTACTCATATTAGTTATAATACATGCATTGCACGATTAAATTAATGTCTAATATTAAAATTAAAATAAGTTAATAATTGATATAATTTTTAAATATGAAAATTAATTTATATAAAGTAAAATTAATTGTTTTCAATATAATCAAAATGCATATTTTTTAACCTATAATATAAGTAGTAGAAAATATTAATATTGTTGTAGATACTTATACTCAAAAATAAAAATAATGTCCTAACTATTTTTGAATTAAAATAAATTAAGCCCTCTTAGTGTGATATAGATGACTATTGATGAGTCAATAAAACATAACATATTTTTCCGTTAAAAGTGATATTATTATAATATGTTTACTGATATATGTTGTCAAATATTAATTAAAGAGTTATACAATGAAGTTATAACATACAATTCATAGATTTTCCTTATGTATATGTTTGCTACCTCAATTATATTGTCACTATTTTTGAACAATTCCTCTTGCAATGGGG